AAATTACTCACCAAGTGGCAAGGACCGTTTGTGGTCACATGGCAAATTGGGGATCTCAACTATGAGATTCTTCGATCAGATAGGGACGAGTCACATCAGATCTACCACCTCAATCTATTAAAAAAGTGGAATGAGGCAGAGTCAGCGATGCTGGCGACGGTAGTGAGTGGGGAGGAAGATCTCGGGCCAGAAGCGAATTTAAAATCTCAATCCTCGGCTCTGGCCATTTGTAGAGATCACCTCTCACCATCTCAAATCGCTGACATTCAAGGGTTACAAACAGAGTTTCCTGATGTGTTCTCGTCCCTCCCTGGTAGAACAAACCCCATAAAGCACCATGTTGAGACCGAGTCGGGCATGGTTGTACGCAGCCGGCCATACAGATTACCTGAACATAAAAAGAAAGTAGTTCAGGATGAATTGAAAGCTATGTTGGATATGGGAGTAATAGAAGAATCCAACAGTAATTGGGTGAGCCCGATAGTTTTAGTGCCTAAAACCAACGGCTTAATCCAGTTCTGTGTGGATTATCTCAATGTGAATGCTGTATCGAAGTTCAATGCATATCCAATGCCATGTTTGGATGAATTGCTAGATTGGATCGGTACTGCTCGGTTTTATTCGACACTGGATTTGACAAAGGGTTATTGGCAGATCCCCTTGTCTCCAATGACTAAAGAGAAAACTGCTTCCACGACGCCGTTTGGATTACACCAATTTGTCACCCTTCCTTTCGGCTTGTTCGGGGCACTTGCCACCTTTCAGCGCTTGATGGATAGAATCCTCCGGCCACATGTTGCATATGCAGCAGCGGACTTGGATGATATTATCATCTATAGTAATGACTGGCAGCGGCATATGCAGCAGTTGCGAGCTGTCCTCAGGATGCTGCGAGGGTCGGGCTCACGGCCAACCAAAAGAAGTGTGCGATTGGGCGCGTAGAAGTCAGGTATCTGGGTTTTCACTTGGGTCATGGGCAGGTGTGTCCCCAAATTGATAAGACGATAAGCAGTTGCGACCTGTCCAAGACCTAAGACCAAAAAGGAGGTTAGACATTTCCTGGGGCTAACAGGATATTATAGAAGGTTTGTACCTAATTATTCGGACCTTGCTAGCCCGCTGGCTGATCTAACTAATAAGGAAGCGCCAGATACCATCCAGTGGACGGAGCAGTGTCAGCAGGCTTTTACCCAGATAAAGGCTGCTCTGTGTGGCGGCCTGTTGTTACAGGCTCCTAACTTTGCTCTCCCTTTTTCGTTGCAGACTGATGCGTCGGACAGGGGGTTGGGCGCTGTCTTGTCCCAGAAGGTGGAGAGCGGCCGGTGCTGTATTTTGAAAAAGTAAACAACACCCTGAAGAGGCACACCGGCAGGGAACAACTGGTTTGACTGCTCTAGAGCCCTCCTCGGCGGGAGCGAGCGACCCTCGGACAAACGCTCGCTGGGAACCTCTGCACTCCAGCATAAAGGCGGGGTTGGTAAAAAGTCCCCCTGAGATCACGAGGGGCACAGTATAATGAGGTTGGATCCATCTTACCCCGGAAGGGTGCACCCTCAGAAGTCTGGCGCTGATGACAGCAGGACTTCTTTTTAAACTAAGCATTCTTAGCAACAATAACAGTACTCAGATCTGTTTTGCCCTTCGAAGACTTTGCCAGAGAGCATTTGGGGGAGCGCGAGATGCGATGCTTTGTTTTTGCTACGCCCAATGTGACGAGCTGGCGGACAGCTGGGGCTGCTCCCATCCAGCAGCCCAGAGATATGAGATCAGTGAGGCAGAGATTTCTGGAATGCCGCCATCTGCTTTCTTGCTTCCTGAAATCTCTCTGTGAATGAGTTGACAGGTCACTGAAGAGGCCACCAGGGGGAAAGTGGGGCATCCAGAAGGAAGCTTTTCTTGTTCTCCTTGATACCTGTGAGGTTCAGCCACAGATGCCTCTCTATGGCCACTAGAGCAGCCAGAGAATGACCAACTGACTTGGCCGTCTCCTTGGCGGTTTCTCATACGAAATGGCAATTCAAAGTGCTTTACATTAAAATAATCAAAATAAATAAGAATAATTCAAACAGTTTATAATAAAAAATAAAATAGACAGCAAAAACAGTCAGACGAACAGTGGCATAGTGCTCATTCAGTAAATGCATAGCTAAACAGATGTGTTTTGATTTGAATGTAACTACGGAGGAGCACACCTGATCTCCTCTGGAAGCTGGTTCCAGCTGCGGCTGGCATAGTAGCTAAAAGCAGACTCTCCATGCTTAGAGTGAACCCTTGGTATTTCTAGCTGATGTGGTCCTAATGATCTGAGTGATCTTTATAAACCAGTAATAATACTAAATGTTACCGTGTATAATGTACAGACCTGAGGACTGGTGTGATATGTTGATTTTTTTCTGGTTCTGCTCAGAATCCTGGCGTTTTGCATGAGTGTTTTGTATGAGCTGCAACTGTCTTAAGGTCTTTTTAGGAAGGCCAGTGAGGAGTCAATTACCGTAATCCACCCTGCTGGTGATGAAATCATGCACAAGTTTCTCACAAGTCTTGACTGGAAACAAAGCATCTAATTCTTGCATTTTTTTTTTTCAGATGATAGTATGCTGATTTAGTTATAGCTTTGACATGACTATTGAAATTAAGGACTTTAGAGACACACCAAGATTCCTGACTTGATTTTTAGTTGTTAGACCCTTAGCGTCAAGGTATGCGTTCACCTTGAGAACATCAATGTTTCCAAACACAATGACTTCAGTTGTATCTTTGTTTAACTGAAGGCACATCCAACTGTTTACTTCATGATTGCATTATTCAATGGGGCTGTAATCGTAAGGCGATAGGGGTAAGTAGAGCGTCTGCATGTAATCTGTCGTCTGCATAGCTTTGGTAAGCAATTTGGTTCTTTCTCATTATTTGGCTCATTGGGAGCAAATACAGGTTGAATAGGAGTGGCGCAAGAATTGAGTCTTGAGGGACTCCGCATGTCATGGATGTCCACTCAGACTTATGGTCTCCTATACTTACATAATAGCCTCTCCATTCTAAGTATGACCTGAACCATTTTAGGACTATCCCAGAAAGCCACACCCAGTTTTCCAGCCTGTCAAGAAGTATGTTATGATTGACAGCGTCAAATGCAGCACTGAGGTCGCGTAGTACCAGTAATGATAATTTGCCTGTTTAAGCAAATATCATTTATTATCTTTATGAGCGCTGTCTCTGTGCTATGATGCAATCGTAAACTTAGTGGCACGGAGACAAAACTGCTGCCTGAGTCAGTTCTCAAACTACGTCAGAGCTGATCTCCTCACTCTCACTCATGTATTTTAGCAGATCAGCCTGGTATGCCTGCAGAATGAACATTGTGCGCAAACACGCCGCGGCTTGACCTGATGCCAAATAGGGTTTACCCACCAAAGCTGATGTCACTTTACGAGGCTTGGTGGGTAATGCCCGTGCTTTTAGGGATGATGCAGACTCAGGGGAGATATGCCTCGCAATAATAATAATAATAATAATAATAAAAAAATAGTTAGGAGAAGATAGGGACTGAAGAGATGTGGGGGAAGGTTATCATATCATTTATTATCTTATTATTATCTTATTATATCATCTTTTTTATGCAGAGTTGACAATGGCAATTGGTACATAGGAGAAAGGATAAAAATATGCAATATTTGCAATATGGCAATATGGTGGTAGTGGGGAGTGGGGTTGGTGATGGTAATGACAATGGTAATAAATAATAAATGGTTACTTTGTTTACGCATACACACACATACACATACCCACACTCACTCACATACACACTTAGATCAAACACTTAAATCACTTTTATGTCACTTCTGGAATTATGGAATTACAAGATTGCTCACCACTGCACTATGTTGGTTTGTATGTATGTCTGACTTTTTAATTTAAAAAAAATAATAAATAAATAAATAAAAAATGTTTAGCCACCACACGAGTGATTACTTCCACTAGTTCCTTATATTCAGGGGTCTAAAGTAGCAAGTCTTCACTTTGTCCTGTTTCGATACCAACAACATCTAGTTGCTCAGGACTAGATAGCTGCAGTACAGGTGCCTCACCAGGGGCATAAGTAACTGCAGAGAGTGCCTCCAAACCCTGGGATGAGACACTGGACCTGGCAAGTGAAGGCAGAGAAAGGGGGAAGCCCGTCTTTAACTATTCTGCCATATCCATTTTAAAATTCCCACCGCAGAAGCGGGACCCGAGCCATGAGGAAGGCGAACCGAAGAGGCCTCCTTAAAGAGTGCTCGGCGGGAGCGCAACGTTCTCAAATGGTAGTTTCTCACAATGCTCACATTTAGCCCCCTCGAGGGATGACTGAGCATGCTGCGCTCTAAAACAAACAACACACAGTAGATGTGTATCCCCGTGATGTAGTGTGAATGAACGATGTTATAATGTGGTTATTTAATGTATAAATTAAAAATAAAAAAAAAACGGATTCTATAGCAAAAAATACAATATCAAGACCTGTACCACAATATATAATATTACTAACACCATGATACACATGCATTAATATGTATAAGAATTCCTAACTTTGTAGCAACTAACTAATTTTCAGATTACGATGCACTGGTGAAAGTGCAGCTCTCATGCTTTTTCACAGCACACACATCTGAGTTTCCTCTGTAATCTCTGTCTATACATCCCGACATACGCCAATTAAGTTGTCTCCTGAGATCGCCACACAGCAGGGATTCTAGTGTGAGATGTCAGCCTCAACACCATCACACACACAAGCCATCCTCAAAGAAACACATCCATCATCTTCAAAAAGAGCACAAAACCACAAATGACTAATTAAAGGAATGTTCCAGTTTAAACTTAAGCTGTTTGGACATCCTCTGCACAGAAAATAAAAGTCAAATACTCCCTCTGTTTGATTCATAATCATAGAAATCTTCAACACGAAATCTGCTTCAGCACTGATATACAGAATGAAACTTGCTGAACTACTCAAAACTACTCACCAAACAGCGCTTCTGGTAGATGCACATCATATAGGAAAGTCGAGCCCCTTTCTCCTCTAAATCACACAGGACCTGTTAAAGAAATGAAAAAACGTCCATCATAAATAAGTAATTATCAGATGATTTTAGAGAGTGTTTCTAAGGACACAGGGACAACTTGTTTTAATGACCTCTATGACTGACAATAAATATCAGCTTTCTAGTCATTTGCAGAAAAGCAGTATCAAATTCTATTAAAACAATAATAATAGTGAATAAAAACACATGAAATATTCATGAAAGAAACAATGTTCAAGAGAATCTCAGAAAGAAACATTTGCACAACAATTTACCACAAAACAAAATACAAATCATTTAAAATTATATTACCCCTACATCAAGCCCCAAATTTAAATTACTGTAAAGCAAAAAAAATAAAAATACATACTAAGGTATAATACACTTTGCTAGTACCAGGTTGGACCCTCTTAAGCCTTTATAACTGCCTTAATTATTTGTGGCATAGATTTTGTTCCATATTGACATGACAGCATCACGCATTTGCTGCAGATTTGTCGGCTGCACATCCATGAAGCGAATCTCCCGTTCCACCACATCCAAAAGGTGCTCTATTATTGAGATCTGATTACTGTGGAGGCCATTTGAGTATAGTGAACTTATCTTCATGTTCAAGAAACCAGTTTGAGAAGATTTGAGCTTTGTGACATGGTGCGTTATACTGCTGGAAGTAGCCATCAATATTAATACCCAGGTAGGCTGTGGGATTTAAACGTTGCTCAATTGGAACTAAGGGGCCCAAAGTGTGCCAGAAATTACCCCCAACACCATTCCACCACCAGCAGCCTAAAGGCAGGATGGATCCAATCTTCTAATGTCCAATTTTGGTGAGCCCATGTGAATTGTAGCCTCGGTTTGCCGTTCTCATCTGAGAGGAGTGGCACCGGTGTGTCTTCAGCTGCTCTAGCCCATCTGCTTCAAGGTTCAACATGTTCAGAGATGCTCTTCTGCAGACCTTGGTTTTAATGAGTGCTTATTTGAGTTTCTGTTTAAAAAAAACTGCATTTTTTTTTTTGTAATTGTTATTGTTCTGGAGGTACAGTACACTATTACATTATATGCAGTGATGTTAACATTTAAGATGAGTCTAAAGAGTAAAGTTGACGGCGAAAATAGGGCATACAAAGGAGAATGGAAAGACAACTATGTGTTCCTCCTACCTAGTTTCGTGAATGCATAGCTGGTGTGTCTTATCTGCAAAAAAGCGATCCACAGACTCTTTTGAATGTCTGTCAGAACTTTTCAAATTAAAAGCTCTCAATTCATCTCAAAATAAAACATTGCTACAAAAAAGTTATCATATTTGAAAATCACTAAAGACAAAGTGATTGTGGGTAACTTTTGCTGTCATCTATTTCAGAACCAGCCGCTACCAAAGTAATCTGGCTGTGGTATTGCCGGCGGGCCAGTCTTGGCCTGTTCTAGACCCCTGATCTATAGGTTAGATGATCATAGCAGTATCGTTATTTCTGTCTTACAATAATTTAAATTGTCACAGAAGTGATGGGATAAAAGTTTGTAGTTCAGATATTAACCATGTAGTTTAGCAATCAAAATAGATCACAAACATGATCTCAAATGGTTTTGTTAGTTCAGTTTAAACACAGACTGCTTTACAGTAGATGAGTGGGAAGTGGCTCATTCATGTGCAGAAGTTTTGTTCTGTTTTCAGTGTGAAATCTGGGCTGGATCTGAAGATCTCCAACACTTACTGAAGCCTTAAGACCTAAAGACCAGTGTCAACATGAAGACATGCTCAATTAATGTCCTTTCCAAGACAGATCTCCATTTAATTCTTCCCATTCTTCTGCCTTCCTGTACGGTCGCAACAGAGCTGATGATCTGGCAGCAATTTGAACCATCTGTGTGATTTTACAAACGTCTAAATAAGTAAGCTCATTGTGGAATATGTATATTTACTCTTGAAAGCATTGTGCTGCCAATGTTTTGTCATAAAAGCCAAACACATCTGTGAAATTGGACTTTTGACACTAAATATCAGGAGTTAAGTGGCATGATTGATTGACAGAGTTAGACAAACAAGCTTTTAATTCATTAAGAGGCAATTAGTAATGGAGCATAATGTATTATTATTATTATTTATTTATTTTTTACTTGTATGTTGAAATGATCTAGGAAATAAACTGATCTGAACAATGGCGACCACAAAGGTCACAGGTCAGTCAATCACTCAAACTGCTGAAATGAACTGTGTGTCTACAGCATTAATAATTCATCACAGCACCTGACAGACATTAACTAACCAGGTAAATCAGAGCTTATTACCAGGACAAATCAACTAATTGATTTCCACGTAATGAATAAAGATAAGCACTGCTACACAAAATTAATATTTCCTCGATTGCTTGCGAGGAAAGAAAGCAGCTTGACAGAAATGCTGAGACTCCAACTTCTTCAAATCAACATTGATCAACACATTTAAAACACCAAAAAATATTGACATGCATCTATAATTCAATGGCAAACCGCCCAACCTAAAACTCATAATTTAAACACGTCAATCAAAGACTTTGACAAGTAAAAAGAAAAGTGTATAGGCCTAATTGTTAGAATCAAATCGATGATACTGCATTGCATGCATCTACAATTCGATGCCAAACAGCCCAAACTGTCACTCTTCATTTAAAGACTTAATTCAACAAGCAAGAAACACATCAGGAAAGAAATCAACCATCTACTGCCTATACATTTAGTTTCCAATAACAGATCGAAATGTTTAATATTGACAATCAACGGATGTCATTTTACCAGAGGTTTGTGTATCTACACAAATACAACAAATTCGAAACAGAAAGTGTGTGAAGTGAGACTCCATCCTGCTCAAATCAACACACGACTTAAACACACTGATGAAATAAATGTTCACTTTAAGGTGAAATGTTATTATTGAATGACATTTAAAGTTTTATGTACACATTATATTTTTATTTAAATTGGCTTTAAATAATGTACTAGTGTTGTTGTCCGTGTTCTGCACTTCATATGAAGCACTTTGGTTAACTTAATGGACAAGTAAACAAAATGCATATGCAAACACATAATCTCTATTACAGTTTTTCTAAATTACTAAAACGCTAAATCCCATTCTCCAACCAAATTATCAATAGCCTAAACCAATTTGTCGAATTAATCACTCTTTCTGTAAAACTATTAACAAGTTCAGGCAGTTAGACACTGTTTGCAAATATCATGCACACATTCTCACTCACTAAAACACATTTTGCACTGTGATGTACTTGTTTCAAAACAACACAGGCAGATAAATGTGTTAAACACAACTACTAAAACACAATTTTCATCATTTACACACAACTACTCAAAACTGTTCACACTTACTTCTAATGATATGGTCAAACCAACGTTAAGTCAGTTCAGAGTACCAAAATAGACTCAGAATGTTGGAATGATTGTTGATACCAACTGTGGATGGAAACAATAGAAGAGACAGAGAAGAGGACGAGTTAGAAGTGGTGGACGGGGAGGAAGAGGATGGTGTAATGATGGGTTTTTCCCTTTGCCTGCAGAGATGACATTGTCTGTGATGTGGACCAGCTCCTAGGGCTGGACCCAACATGAAGACATGATGCTGAGGTCTCTCATTGACCTTGATTTTTCAGTTTCACAACTCATTTGAGTGTACTGTAACATGCTTTTCATTCAGCCTTTTTTAACCATTTTGGCTTTTCCAGTTTGGTTACTGTATTTTCACAGTATGCAAGTGCTGAAAATACAGACATTCAATTGGCCTATTCAATAGTCAGTACAATACTATACCTACAGTATATACAGTATAGTTGTGATTACTATACGTTTTTTACATAATGGTAAAATTAGATTATTTGTCACAATATTTTATTTCTATAACTGCGTGTTTTTGGATTCTGTATTCTCCATTTTTTTTGTGTGTGTGTGTCAAATGAATTATCTATAGTGTTTATGATATTTAATCGCTGTGTGTATGATCTGAAAGCATTGTTTGATTTTAAGCACAGATAAAATGGTTTCAAGCCGAGGCGATTGTTTGATTTTGCTAGAAGAGTCAGATTGTTCTCTGAATGTTTTAAGATTTGGTTTTGAGAAAGTTGGTGATGGTTTTGAGAAATGTATTTTAGAAATTCATAAAAACTGTAACATAACTCCATCAACTCAATGATAGGCCTATAGCAAAAAGATAAATGAACAGTTTAAATAAATAATTTAGATTCCATGTGCAAACGATGACAATAACTGTCATTTAATAGTAACTCATGCATCAACATAAAAACACAGCAAGTCTGTATCAAATATTGATAGCAACAACAATTAATGCAGTTTCAATGGTTCCACACCTGTAACTGTTCAGAAAAGTGAAAACTGGCGTCTCCAGTGACTCTTTTCTTAAATTCAGGAGGACAGAAGCAGCGTAAAGAGCTAAGTTACTGTTTTTAGATTCTATAGCGACTGTAGATGGAAATAAAGCAGCCTTTGCTGGCGTTACACTGGTTTCTCTTCATGAAACACACACATGCAAAAATCACACTCAGGTATCGCTTGTTAATTCCAGTAGCGGCAGTTTATAAAGCCAATAATGTTCTGAACTCCAGCTGCCTTACCTTAGGATGGATCTGCGCGCGTTTGTTTCATTGTATCACAGAATTCCTCGCGCTGCTGTCAGTGATGCAGCTCGAGCACACGCTGATGGGAATATGATGATGAGGAGGGATGATGATGCTGGGTTATTCAGCGCGTGTTTGGAGAGTCAGCGCGCACCGACGGCCTGTGGTACTAGCGCGAGCGTGTTTGTGAGTGTGTGTGTATGTGTGTACGTCTCTGCTCCTCCCCTTTAACTCTATAATTACTAAACACACAGCGCCACCTGTCGAGAGAGAGAAGGTGCAGGTGCGTCAAGTTTCATCAGCAAAGATGGAAATTTGTAATGCCATCGCATCAATTTATTGTAAAAAAAAAATGGTACAGGCAATGCTTAGTAAACTGTAAAGGTGATATATTAAATGCACTCAGTGAGTAATTAAAATTTAGATATTTCAAAAATATTATATGTTTTTTACTCATTCTATTTGTGTTACTGTAACTGTTCAGTTTATGTCTCGTTGCTGATTTTCTTATATTCATACAAATATTTACACGTCAAGTTTTACACGTTTACACGTATAGGCTAAAGGCTTGTTATCAGCATGGAAAATCTTTTAGGATCAGATTTTTGTATTATTATTATTATTATTATTACTCATATTATTCTCACAGTCCTTTATATATTATTATATTTATACAAATATTTACACGTCAAGTTTTACACGTTTACTATAGGCTAAAGGCTTATCAGCATGTAAAATCTTTTAGGATCAGATTTTTGTATTATTATTATTATTATTATATATATATATATATATATATATATATATATATATATATTATTTTTTTTACAATGGGGACAAGTTTCAATAGCTAGAAATGTGTTTTCTATAATTCATACAGCACATGTAAAATATAACCTAAAATTAGCATAATGTTAAAAAATTATCTGTCAAAAAACTTGTGGGAAGTTCAAGTTTAGGCTACTCAGAGCCAATTAATCTGAAAACTAGGGGGGGCATGTCTGTATAAACATACATGGTATGTTAGTATTTCACAGTATATTAAAAATAATCAAATTTCAAAATGACTTGGAAAATCAAATATAAACAACAGGCTATAGCAGAAGATAAATACTAATTAATTGAATTGTTTACTATAACATGTCATTAGTTTGCTTCGTTAGTCTGTTTATTTCATTCATTTCACAGAATATCAGCACATCTTTAATTGATCTTCAGTAGCTATTTATTTAAGTACAGTAAAAGTTGGATATTGATTTTTCTTTTGCCAGCGCCTCAGATTCACATCCAATACATGACTGACATCTACTGGTGGATGATGTGCAAATTTATGTGAACTTTTTTTTTCAGGATCACATTGACATGGGCTTTATAAGAACTGAAGAACTGAAACTAGTCACTGTTTTATTGAAACATTTCTTTCATGTTTGTTGTGTTTATTGTACACTAAAAAAAATCTACATGACAGTGCAACACCTTGTTTCTAATAGGCTACCAACAGTATTTTTAAACTGGCATTTATTGGGATGACAATATTTGCCCAGCCATTATAATATAATTTGTAATATAATATAATACAATAATCTATTTATTGTTTAATTACGGTTTACACATAGGCTACTATTCCATGACAGAGTTCAAGATATATATTTGCAAGCTACGACTGGAGCTGTCAGTTTGCTAAGTTTCAAATGATTACTAAACAGCAAGCACAAACTATGCAAAAGAATGTTCTTCCGGCGCACTCACTTTTTGCTTATTTTTTTTATTTATTATTATTATTATTATTATTATTGCAGAAATATCGAAACAAACAATAGAAATACAATATAATACATTTCAAATAGGGGGAGGTATAAACATTATTAAATACTATTGTTATTATTATTAAATAATACTTCAAAAAAGTGTAGGCTACATGCTTGTAAAATTATAATAGCTTTTTGTTTTTTCGATGGCAATGACTCAATATAATGCTTGACTTCATTTTTAAATGCAATAAAACGTTTTGTTTTGTTTTTACCTGAAAATTTGCATTTATGAATGTGAAATTAAGCCATCAAAATAAAATAAATATAATAAAATAATAAAATTAGTGCAGGGTTGTTTATCTTTGGAGTTTACAATAATAACTAGTAGAACATCTTTCTAATATAAAATTTTCATCAACATTTCCAACCATGAAAATCAAGCACATTTTGCACACACACACACACACACACACACACAGTCAACATCACTCACAACATCACTTTTTTTTCCAGTCAACATCACTCACAAATTGCAATAACATTTGGTCTCGAAACAAAGTCAACATCACTCACATCACTTTTTTTCCAGTCAACATCACTCACAAAGTGCAATAACATTTGGTCTCGAAACAACATCCTTCAGGAAACAGGCTCTTATTGATCACTTATAATCATATTTTACCTATAAGTGAGTGATTTGGTGAGAGGGGTGGTAATTGCTGGTAAATCTAATATTTTTTTGCTGTTTAAATAACATACCTATTTTAGAAGGAATTGCTCCAAAAACAATTGTAAATTCCCAGTTGCTTTTTTTTTTTTTTTTTTTTGAAAAGAATGTCCTTATTATTCCAGATAAAGTATTGGGGGAAAGTTGTGTTTGTAAATTAAACTCCATGCTAGAAAAGCTTGAAGTTTTGCAGCTCAGGTGACGTCAATGCATACGTTCTGCAGAGCGTGTCACGTCACTGGTCGCGTAGCAACCTCTCTACACACTGAAGTATAAAAAAGAAAACATTGAATTAAATGTGTGAAGCTAAACAGGTGCTTAATAATAACTAATAAAAGACTAATAATTATTATATAAAACAATGGTTAAGCAAACTATTAAAATATTTGCACGTGTAAAACCGACGAAGAAACCCACCTCGGTGAGTGCGTTTGTATAACATTAGGCTAAGTTACTAGCTACTTTGTATTGGACACCATTTGTCGGGTTTGCTCATAGCACTATACCGTAATGCTAACATCTGTGCATCAACTAGAGTGCAATTCTTATGTCACTTCTATCTACATGAAGCCTAGTCATGTTATTTTGATTTCAATAGGCCTAACGTTATCTAAACGCAGGTGTTTTATTTTACAATGCTGGTGCTACAGCGTCTAATGTGAATGGCTAATTTCTATTATATTGCTAAGTATATAACTTACACTGATAAAGTTGTGTAGGATTTACTATACAACAATTTACACTCAGAAATTGCTAGTCATTTAAAAAAAAAATAACGTTATAACAAAATGCAAATCAGCATTGAATTAACTTGAAACTTGTTTGTAGAAAGACTAAAATGGTATATATATATATATAATTTATTTATTTATTTATTTATTTTTTTGTAAAATGTACAGCAATAATCATTAGTCCAATAATATTAGTCATATATTAGTCATTTCCTACAGAAGTAAATAAAAAAGAAATTGATTTCATTCACTTGGATATTATTCGGCTACTTAAAAACAGATGCTTATTTGTGAGCACAAACCCTCAAGATCTCTGATCTCTGTACAGCAAATATTTTACATTGCACTGTCTGTTTATGGTCTGTGTTATTTACATTTTACATTTGGGTGAATTCCCAGTATCTCTGAATTCCGGTTGATTTGGGAACACATTTACCCTGTAATCTCAATGGCAAAAAGTGTCCCAATCAATCTGAATACACACCTACTTAAGTTAAGAGTTATTAAGAGAAAAATGCCCCAACTGTTAAGATGAGATGATGATTTAAACAGTTTTTTAGGAATGTAACGATACACTCGTGTCACGGTTCGATACATATCACAATACTGAACTCACTAATATTATTGCGATTCTAAAGACATATGGTAAAAGTTTAACAAAAAAAATATATATATACTGTTGTTTAAAATGCTAAATTACATTGGGGGTGTACATGGGGCTTGGATTTGATGCTTTTGGTAACCCAATCCACAAGACAATTGTGACACCAGAATAAAAATATTCAGGATTCTGAAGCTGAAAATACAGAATTATTTAAGACAAATATGCTTGCACTCTGTCACTGACTATATATATTTAAAATTATGTAGGCCTAGGCCACTTTTTACTGGTAGCATAAGACATTAGACATTAAAATATCCCCCCATTGAATTATTATATTCAATATTATATGTAGTAGTTTAATGTAGACAATAAAACTTAGTAAACTTGTTTTTTTTTTTTTCCTCAAACATTATTTTTTGTAATGCGTAAACTACATACAATGCAGATTGTCACGGGTACATAATTGTTGCATTTTTGTATGCAATATATTGTGGCACGATATATTGTTACACCCCTACGGTCATGATTCCTGTCTGTAGTCCACTTTGGGTGCTTCTCATTTCTTATCCTCCTTTCCTTTCTGCAAGGAAATAAAATGAGGATGGAGGAGTTGAAGGAAAGCTTATCACTCGAGCGTCACTTCAAAGCTTCATAAGTTGTGCTCAAAAGATCTACCCTGATGTTGTTCAAGTTTGGTTATTTTATAATAAAGATCCAGTAAAGCAAGATGCCCTGTTGATACATTTGTAATATGTATGATTTATTTAAAGGGTCACTTCACCCATTTGCATTAAGCTTTGTATCTTTAGAAACCCAGTCATATTTTTGAATGGTCATGGTGTATTCCCTTATTTTCCCCTGAGATGGGAGAAATAAGGATTTAAGTGTTTTACTTCCTGCTTATCGTGACGTAAAAATCGTCATTTTGCGTCACGATAAGCAGGAAGTCATATTTCATTAAAATCTTTAGAACTACAAACATTAGCTCATTATTATTTCAGGGTGTTGGACCCACTCACCCTACAGGCCTATTACAGATCAGTAGGTGGGACTTCACTTGCAGAAACTGAAATCAATATCCGCCATCTTGTTTGGAAGCTAAGCTAACAAGCGCTGTGGAGATAGGAAGTTATGACAATGACGGAAGAAACTAAACATGATATGGAAGAAGAGGATTTTGAAATTCTGCTGCTCGAATCCGATGTTCGTGGCTATCTTTATGAGTCGCAGTATAGTTTAGAGCAGCTGAGGCTGATGGAGGACCAGGAGACGCCGAGGCGGCGGCCTGTCGCGGTCGAGGACCCAGCACTGACTCTGGCGCTGGGCGGATTGCTGTTGCCTGTTCTCTCGCTGCGTGCTACGGCCTACGGACACAGCCCGTCTGCTGCAGAGAATTTCAACGATGGCAATTTCTCCTGGAGGAAATCTCTGAATCAGACGAGCACGCGGACGTTTGTGTTGTGATAGTTTTGCCTGACTAAACATCCAGGTATCATGCAGTAATTCATCAAACAGAAATAAATACAAACGAGTTTGCCAATGTAACGTTAACGGGGTTTGTTGTTGTGGGAAGAAGGAGGCAGGAACCGGCGAACATTTAAGCATTTTAATAGTAAAATGAACAAATACAAAATGAAAGTATAAGCCAGCAGCCCCTCATTGGTGACTGCTGTAACGTTACACACAACAGAAACAAAACACAACATAAAATCAGGCCTGTTTCTCTCTCGATCTGCCGTCGTCGCTCCCCGTTTAATGCTTTCGCTTCTCAGTGAGAGACGCAAGACTGGCGCATGCCTCACAGGTGTCTTTCATTATCAGTCTCTATTATAACTCACGTCACCGGCCTCGCGCAGAGCGCCATCCTCTTAATTCCCTCGCCCTCGATCGTCCTGCTTGCCACAGCCAATTAGACATTTTGTGTGAAATTAATTTCAAACTCCGGTGACAGCTAATAGCTAATAGCTTGTAGACGGAAGAGTGAATTCTCTGTTTGCGCTGTTCCGGATAAGTGGGTGTGGCTTGTGGAGCTGTGCATTGTGGGACATGTAGTCTTTTCATATAGTGGCGCCCCTTGGTTATTTTCTGTGTTTTCTCGGTCAAGAGGGCACCAAATTAAAAAAAATATTTTACATTTCGACTACATATATGATCCACTTTCAATAAAGATTAATGTTGCAATGGGTGAAATGCTCCTTTAAATTGCAACGGTAAAGCATAAATTAAAATTGTGACCGATGTGAAGGGGGGGGGGGGGGGTATATTAATTTATAATTTATTTGTGAGTCAGGTTTCTCAACAAGAAAGACTTACGTATATCATACACCAGTCCATCCTCACTCATTGCTCCACTGGAAGCTTCCTCACTCCACGTTTCTCGCCTCTTCGTGGTGCTGTAAGTGGAGAATTGAGATGTCCTTCAAGATGGCTAAATTTGATTGGTTTTCGGGTCAAAGGCTTGGGCAGAGGAGCGAGGAAACGAGAAAGCATCAATTTGAGTATTGAGAAGCACCCAATGTCTTGTGTCGAAGAGTAATATTATTTCCTGTTTTGTGCCATGTTTTGTAGTCTTTTGTAGTTTTCTTGTTGATTAGTTCTAGTTTGTGTGTCTTGTCCCAAGTTTGTCTTGTGTGCCGACTGCCGATCACCCTTTTTATAATTCAATGTTTCTCATGTTGTTTGTCTGGTGTTGTCCTTTGTTGGATGTTTCTTTGATGTTTGATGTTATTGTTATTATTTTAATAAAGTTGTACTGCACATGTATCCTGCCTTCACTCATCTCTGAGAGCACTCGGTTATATATAAATTATATATTATAGAATTAGATATTTAGGGTTTGTGATCATGCTGTAGGCAACTCTGTAATATTGATGTGATTGAAACCAGATTGTTTTTTTTTATTTTTTTTTTATTTACTTCTGTAGGCTATGGCTGTTGGGGGTGATAAATAAATATATATATATATATATATATATATATATATATATATATATATATATATGTATATATGTATCTTCTTAGCATGTCTGTAATATGATTATAATTAGCATATCTGTAGTCTGTAATATACAATTTTGTCTTAGTGATAAAGTTACGCTTGCAGAAAATATGTCTGCGCCAGCAAGTCTAGATTATGTGAACTCATGCTTAATCATTCTCTTTGCAGGGGTACTTTGTGGACTGCGACGAGCAAAGCAGTAGTTTGGAGTTTGTGGTTCCCAGAGACTTGGCGGATGGTTTTATCAACAATAAAAGAGAAAACTACAATTTCAGGTGACATGAAGAAAAATGAAATATTTAATTTTATGGAATTATAGTGTTGATTTCACAAATATGACCTATCATGATCTTAATAAAGTTTAATTTTGCTCATGAACAGCCTATTTTCTATGCCCACTAGGATAGAAACAATGTTTTTTCTCTCTCTCTCTCTCTCTCTCTCTCTCTCTCTCTCTCTCTCTCTCTCTCTCTCTCTCTCTCTCTCTCTCTGAAACTTTCTTTTAAATTTTTTTATTAATTTATCCTATTTATCTCTTGGGACATCTCTTGTTTAAGGATGGAGTAACTTTTATTTTTAAAAAAGGAAAGAAAGAAATTGCTGGATAAAACTGATGTTTTAAACATGTTAAAAATGGATTTAGAGCAGATTTGGCCTATATAGTTCCCTTTCAATCGGTCACGTTCGATGCCATGTTGGTCTAACCGACGAATAGGAATCTCGCTAGAGGGTCCAATCTACATTGAGTGTAACTAAACAAGCCAATGCACATTGATAATACATGTGATGATTGCATCAGCTGCTCCGCCTTGCAGCGCGGGTATATAATAAGCAGAAGGTGCATCGCTTCTTCGCAGCTTTTCACTTTGGAGCCGAGCTGTTCGTTTATTCCTGTCTCGAATTTACAAGCAGCGTTTTCTAAAGAGTCAGTTCTTCGTAGCTCCAAATGACAATAAGTCTTTTTGCTGTTGTTTTAATAGAAAAAACATTAAAGTAATTTTGGATTCATTGGATTACTAGGAGTTTGAGTTTGACCAAATCTTGTTTCTTGTTTTACCAGAAGGCCTGCCTGCCTGTATAATAAATAGCCTATAATAAATCAGTAAACTAGATGTGTACAGGTTGACATTCTTTTGATTTGTGAATATTGAGCTGAACCTTGACTTTACAAAATTAAATCGCAAATAAAATCGCAATCACACTATCTGTCAGAAAAATCGCACAGCCCTACTGGCAAGCGCTCCCCAGTCCGTCTCACTGAATCATTCAGACCAGCAGCCTCGGCTATCTGATTCAGTTCGCCCGGTGTCCCCCCACGTTCAGAGGCATGCAGTTCACTTCAGTGAAAGCTGTCGATGCCCATGTCTCGGGAGCGGAGATCGCTGTCCTACTGGCGAAGGACGCAATCGAGCCAGTCCCTCCAGCTGATATGAAGCTCTTTATCTGTTACGGAGGCCAGCAGAAGGGAAAGGCTGTCTCCAAGCAGAGGACGGCCCATTGGATAATGGATGCCATCACCCTGGCTTACCAAGCACAGGGTGTGCCTTGCCCGCTCAGGTTGCAAGCTCACTCTACTAGAAGTGTTGCATCCTCCTGGACGCTGGCGCATGGTGCCTCGCTAACAGATATTTGTTGAGCTGCGGGCTGGGCACATTCGCTAGTTCTATAGCCTTTATGTCGAGCCAGTATCTTCCTGCGTTCTCACCTCAAGTGGTCAGAGACACAGAGAGGCCCCTGCTTATTCTCCAGAGAATTCCCGCTGGACAATCCCTGTTGAGTCCTCCATCATCCGCGGCAGATGGACATGGTGGAGTGTATGGCACCAGGCCTACATCCATGAGAACCGGTACTAGGCTGGGTGCCTGTATGTGTGATCTCGAGGGGATCCCATATGTGTATTCTTCCATGGTAAACTTCTAAAAGGAAGCCTCTTTCTTTCCCTTGGGGAAGCCCCCCTTTGTTAGTCTGGAACCGTCCCTGAAACATTCCATATGTAGTTCAGGTAAGTCCATATATAAAACTCCACATAACTCCTTTTGGGTAGGATGTAGCTTCCTTTTCCAGTGTAAATGGCATGCTGGTAAATGGTCATGTGAAACAGCAGTGATTGACAATCTCTGCGCAAGCCTTGTCCCATCAACAGGAGGGATCAGGAGGCTTATGCAGGGCTCTGGAAGGGGGCAGCAGCCTATCCTATTAGTTCCCTGAAGGAGGGAAAAGAGACGCCACGTCCCGCCGCCACAACTGCTGTACCACGGCTGAGTGGCCGGGTCATTGGCTTGGCTCCACACTGAAAACCTGAAGATGAGATCCACCTTCTGCTTATTATATACCTGCACTGCAAGGTGGAGCAGCTGATGCAATTATCGCATGTCAATGGTCATTGGCTCGTTTAGTTACACTTGATGTAGATTGGCCTGTGCAGCGAGATTTCTATTCGTCGGTCAGTCCCACATGGCATCTCCGTTCCCTCCTTACATGTGTAACCAAGACAATCTGTGAACTAGGGGTGTGCCATATCATACCGCCCATGAAAACACCGGTATAAATTTTTACATGATAAAATAAGCCAGCAACTGTACAAGCCTGTTCTGTAAAATCATATCAAATAAGTGTCAAATTGCGATATCAATGATATATTGACGAGATTTACTTTCGCTTGCGCACAACAACACTTGTTTGAGAGGAAGAGTAGCATGTCAGCCTCCGATGACGATTTAGTGCCTAAAAAGGGAGCTACTTCAATAGAATGGAATTGGATTGGTTACCAAGAGGTCAGACCTCCAACAAAGCACAATATTTAGCAAAATATGCAAGAAAACTGTTACCAACAAAGGTGGAAACACAACAAACTTGTTTCACCACTTGAAGAAAAACACACTGCAGGGCTCCAGACTCCAGATTTGAGAGTGTGCGACCCCCGAGTGCGGCATTTTATTATACTCATGTTAAACGTGGAAGGGGCTTGTCAATGAATGCAGAATGTGTGGCAGGTCAATGAGTGTGAGAAAAATAGGGATTGGCCATTGTAAGTGGCTAATGTGTGGAGGGGGAGGGTCGATAATCGAGCGCGCATTTAAACGTCTGTGGGTAGGAGACGAAGATAACCTAACAAGCGAACTATTGACTCATTCTTCCGACCTGTGGCTAATGTGCCAATTAAATTCACTTGCTGGCTTCCCAAATAATATTACAACAGTGATAATCAAAAAAAATTATCAAAACGATTACTCTTTGTAAACACTGATCAATGTGAGTGCCAAATGCTCAAACATGGCCTGTCATTTACGCCGTCATCACCCGGGAGTTGATAGCTCACAAGCGCAGGCGAGACCTGAACTGCAGACGTTACCGTCTGTGTTTAAACTAAACTCATTTAAGTTTTGCCAATTTAAACATTCAAGAGCAAGATTTTTGAAGATTTTTGCGTGTGTGTGTGTGCGTGCACACGCGTGTGTGTGTGTACATTATGTGTAGTCTACTCATCTCAGACAGCGTGCAAATATGGAGTTCTCTTTCAAGTCTTGCACTTGAATGGACAAATTCACACAAAAAGTATGTCAACATTCAACAACCCACCATTTTCGTGAAGACCGGCTGGGATAATTCAGCTGGTTAAGGTAGTAGGAGTTGAATTCCATGTTGCAGTCACTACCCCATAACTGCGGGGAACACAAAGTGTGCCGACAGTGCAGGTACATCACAGCTTAAACACAACACACTAGTTAAACACAATCTTAACCACAAACACTTCGCTTTTTGATTTACATGTTAATAAATCAAAAAGCAACGCCACTGCCGGTTGCTTTTAGAAGACAAGAGGTTGTAACATTAAATCAGAACGCAAAGGCATTGTAATTTCTGCATCTATTATCAAAGTATTTATTAGTAATACACTGGAAATGTAATTAGTAGAAATGTGAATATTTGGTTAGTATGTTGATTTACGGTGTGTGCTCCTAAATTTTCTGGTTGTGCACCTAAAATTTTCAGTTGGGGGGTCACTGTGCTCATAATGAAAAAAGTTAGTCTGGAGCCCTACACTGTCAAGTACAACCAGGCTATGAAGGTACGCAAGGAAGAGATGCTAGCAAAGGGCTTGGGGCTTTCAGTGCAAGATTGTGGGTATTGCGCATGATTGTAATAATTCCCGCAGGTCTTCCACTTATAATGCAGAAAATTTCCCTGCAAACATTGATTCACCACAGCATATGTAGATTGTATGAGTAGCCTAAATTAATCCACACAGATTATACATTTTAAAACTTTATTTAAGACGCAATTTCACAAACCACATGAGTGTTCAACATCCTTCATAGACATATACACTAGACGTCACCTTGGCTACGGCAGTTCATTGGAACGAATGCGTCAATAGAGCCGCCATCTTGAAACAGGGGAGCCCCTCCACTTTAATGCATCAGCGTCAATGTAGTAGACACAGGTCTAACGGAAATAAAATCACCATAACTCATCATGAATGCGATTTTTCTTGTTTTTTTTTTTTTGGTTTGTTCCAACGGTCAGACATGTATTTATCATTGATTCCAAAAAGAAAAGAAAAAAATATATTTTTAAAAAAAATATTCTTCCTAGTTCAGATTTCATCCGTGAACATCATACGCTGCACAAAAGTCCGCCGCCATCAATGAATTCGAAGTAAAGGCAGAGATAGCAGCCTTACCTAGCTACTTCCTATGACAAGACCCCTGTTCCAAGATGGCGGCGGTTTTGACGCATGCTTAGAGCCCCAAGGTGAGGTCTAGTGTATGTCTATGAACATCCTTAAAAACGCATGACAGTGTGACATACCATGTAATGGATCCATGCACTAGCTGTAAAAGTGACACATATGAAAGCCATATGTGTCTGTCATTAATAATGTTGTCAAAACAACAAAACAAAATATAGCTTTAATTGTAAGGAATCAGAATTAATAGCCTATGTATTTAATTTAGCCCGGACTCAGGACTAAAAGACTATCAGTGTTATTTTACATTTGATAACTTTATTCAGTTTCTGTAGTATTTCTGAATACTAGTGTTAGACCTACCCAAAAACTCTTCTCGTTATTTCTCTTTATTATTTTGTTTAAATGTTTGCTACTTTTTGCAATTTAATTCAAAGATTGAAATCAAGCCCCTTGGTAAAAACGCAATGAGTGAGCAAACATTTAGGTGAGATAAATGTAATAGAAAAAATGGTCTCTTTTTTTCTATATTGTCATAAATATCACTAGCGCAAATATTCTTGAAATATTGTGATGTGATTTTGAGGCTATATCGCCCATCCCTACTGTGAACATACTTTAAGTAGAAGCAAAATTTGTATTTGTTCATTTTTAAACAACCCATTTTCACAAGCAAATTTTCCATTTTTCAGGTTTCAGAAGGTTTTTGACCAAACAGCTAATCAAGAGGAAATCTTTGAGACCATTGCAAAGCCTGTTGCTGATAAGTGAGTTGACATTTTTTTTTTCTTCTCTGAAAAGTTTATGAAGCATACTTTAAAAACAATTCACAACTATAAGAGAAAATGAGAAAACAATAGATATGTATACTATTAAAACATGTTTGAAAAGGTTTTTTGGCACAATGTGAACATGCCAGTAGTTAATGTACTGAACTATATCTTTAGGACACCTATGTACATCTAGTAAAAATAAATTGAGACTAAATGAACGATCACTTACACATGTATATGTTGTTATCTCTACAATAAAGCTTGTATGTGGCTTGTATCTTTTTGAGGCCATTTTAAGATGCTGACATAAAATCATTTAGAGGCCTGGGTATACTTCAGTTGTGAGACCTACAACTGAAGTTAGAACTTTCAAAATTAGATGAAACAAACTTTCTAAATTAGACATCATCTGGACTGTAAAATCATATAATTTCAAGTTAGAACATCCTCCATTTCCCTTAGTAAACATAGGGTCTAATCTCTCTGATGTCACACATAAACTTTCATTTTAAGCTCCCTTTTAAGTAAACCCATCCCAGAATGAAGTCTGAGGTCCACTAGTTGTTTGCCCTGAATGTTGACTACACAGTGACTAGAATTCGTTAAGAGCTTCCTTAAATATCGAGGCGCTAAACCATTTAGTGCTTTGTAAGTAATTTGCAAGATTTTAAAATGTATGCAATGTTTAATAGGGCGCCAATGCATTTTTGACAGAAACGGGTTATGGTTCTAGAAAAGAACTCTAGCTACTAAATTTTGGACATTCTTGAGTTTGTTTACTAAGCGTGCAGGGCAACCACCAAGTAGAGCATTACAATAATATAGCATTGGGGTCATGAACGCATGAACTAAATTTTCTTTTCTTTTTTTTTCACTGAGATCATATGTCAAAATTTAGATATGTTTTTGTAAATTTTGCAAATTGGTATGTCCTGACAGGAAGTGAAGAAATATAGAGGATCACAGATGCAATTTCTCTAGCCTATGAGGATGTCCAGGTTGCTTTTGCCTTTAGGAGTTAAGGCCCACTCTTCTCAGGGTGTGGTATCATTTAAGGCCTATCTAAGGGTGCACCTTTGCAAGATGTCTGTGCGGCAGCAGGCTGGTCCTCCCCACACAGAAAGTTTCATAAGATTTTACAGTAAAACTTTTTGATGTAAATTTACAGTAAAATATTGGCGGCTGGTTTGCCAGTCACTTACTGTATTTTTACGAGGCTACTACTATAAATAACATTTACAGTATAGTACTGGTATTACCAAATACAGTATTGTGACCTGCAGTAATTCTATTTATTTTACAGTATTACACTGTTTTGTCTACAGCAATTCATTGCATTTACAGGGCAACAATTACTGTTTTTGTACATAGATTGAATTTGTCACTAAATAATTAAAAATTTCATACTTGTGTTATTTGTTATGGCAAAGGAAAACTGTTTCTGTTTTTTTTTTTCATAAGTGGCAAAATGCTTTATGAGCCGAAGTATTACAGAAAAAAAATACTGAAACATGAGAAACATGATTTTTTTAATTAAAAAATTGAGTGAAAAAATATTCCATAAAATGATTCAAATGTAATTGTGGTGAATAGGTACATGCACATTTAAAACCATTTAAAGGATTAGTTCACTTTTGAAAAAACTTTTGATGATAATTTACTCACCCCCATGTCATCCAAGATGTCCATGTCTTTCTTTCCTCGGTCGAAAAGAAATTAAGGTTTTTGATGAAAACATTCCAGGATTTTTCTCCTTATAATGGACTTCCATGGGAACCAGGTCCAACCGAGGTCCAAACGACAGTTATAACAGTTACAGATGCAGCTTCAAATGTCTTTAAACAACACCAGACGATGAATAAGGGTCTTATCATGCGAAACGATCGGTTATTTCAAAGCTTATTCCAAAAATGTAACTTTTCTAGGGACAAATGCTAGCCTTTCTCCATTCTGTGAGGCGCGTTTGCAACGTCACGTAATACGTAATTACGTTCAAAAGGTCACGGGCGACGTAGCCAGAAGTACAGAGTCAGAGTGTTTACAAGTTGAACGCATAGGTTGAACGTGAAAACTAACTCAAACGCCGTTTACAAAAAAGGAATTAAAAGGTAAAACAATGATGTCGGACGATTTTGATTCTGTACTTCTGGCTACGTCGCCCGTGACCTTTTGAACGTAATTACGTATTACGTGACGTTGCAAACGCGCCTCACAATATATTACAAGGTTAGCATTTGTCCTTAGAAAAGTTACATTTTTGGAATAAGCTTTGAAATAACCGATCGTTTCGCATGATAAGACCCTTATTCATCGTTTGGTGTCGTTTAAAGACATTTGAAGCTGCATCTGAAACTGTTATTAACTGTCGTTTGGACCTCGATTGGACCTGGTTCCCATTGAAGTCCATTATAAGGAGAAAAATCCTGGAATGTTTTCATCAAAAACCTTAATTTCTTTTCGACTGAGGAAAGAAAGACATGGACATCTTGGATGACATGGGGGTGAGTAATTTATCAGCAAAAGTTTTTTGAAAAGTGAACTAATTCTTTAAGGAGCTCTTTTGTTTTACACATATTCATAGTGACACATGACACACAAATAGCACAGTTAGCAATAGTTTCCTGAGAATGTCACAGCTTTATTAAGTTTTGTAACTTTTTTTTAGAAACCTGTCATGAGAACCTTTTGATAGTGTTTTGATAATCTTTTGATAGTGTGCTGGCAGGTTATAATGGCACCATCTTTGCCTATGGCCAGACCGGAAGTGGGAAGACCTTTACAATCACTGGAGGTGCAGAGCATTATAATGACAGAGGGATCATTCCCAGAACTCTTTCTTACCTTTATCATCATATCTGCAAGGTCAGTAGACATTTTCAAATGTCATGCTGGAACCATGGATTTAGATGGTGAAGGCTGGCAAATATGTATGCAAAGCATTCTGTTATTCAACTGGTAGTAATATATTAGTTTTTAGTTAATAATTGGTCTGTTTTGTTGTACTTTATTAAAATAGTTGTTTATCTGTTTGCAGGACAGCAGTATGGTCTATACAACCCACATTTCCTACCTGGAAATCTACAATGAGGCCGGCTATGATCTGCTGAATCCCCAACATGAAGCATCTCGCCTGGAGGACTTACCGTCAGTCTCTGTTTTTGACACTTGTTCACTTTCAATTCTCATAATTGTAGATTAACTTCATTATATCAGATCTGATCTATTGTGATATGAAACAAACTACTTTGAAAATAGACAATGCCCAATTCTGAGCACACAATTTGAACTTTAAAGATACAATGGCAGTTTAAATCCACTGTCACTGTTATACTAACATTATTGCTTCTCACTTTTTCTCTCTCTCTTTGCTGCTACCTCTGTTTATTCATCCATATCTTTGTTCATCTTTTTTTATTTCTGTGCAGTTAAAAAAAAAGAAGATTTTTTACAGTATAAATTAAAACGTCCAACCGGCTAACTGAGCCCAATTTTTTATTGATTTCATGTTAGTTTTCAAAACTAAAAGAAAAAGTTCAAATATATTGATTGATTTGGTATCCAGCTCTGCTTTGTTCAATGATTAAGAAA